AATGCTGATTATAGGCCTTGCACGATGGTAAAAGCTGATGATTGTCGTTATCAACAACTTTCTATTGAAGGCGTAAATAATTCCTGGGTGATTTTGAAGAGGGAAAGGGGAAGGGGAAGGAGAGGAGGGGTGGGTGGGGAAGGGGAAGGAGGGGGAGGGGTGGGTGGGGAAAGGGGAGGGGAAGAAGGCAGGGAAAGGATGGGAAGGGGTGTAAGGGGAAAGGGAACTGAGGGAGGTGGATAAGGGGCAAGGAGAAGGAAAGAGGAGGGATCGAGGGAGGAAGGGAGAAGGGGGAAAGGAGAAGGAAAATGGTGGTATGGTAAGATAAAGAGGAAAGGAAAGGGAATAGAGAAGAAAAGGGGAAAAGGAGAGGGAGGTAGAGGAAGAAAAAAAGGAGGAACAGATGAGAAGAGATAAAGATAAAGAAAAAGGAAAGGGATGAGAGGGTCAAATCAGAGAAAGAGGGGAAAAGGGGGAAAGAAGAGAGGGGAAAGGAGAAAGGAGGAACTAGTGTGATGTTGTGGTCACGGGCGTTAACCATGAGTTGTGTTCGTTGGTGTGACTGATGCGCAGTCAAGGGGGGTGGGGGGTGTTGGATTGCTTAAGATGAGCTACATGTTGGGAAAGTTAATGACTTTATTGCAAGTGTGTTCGGTTTTAAGAGGTTTCGACCGTATCTTTTACTTATATTTTTTATTTGTTATCTTTTGGTCATTGTGTATTTTCTATTGCCATTTCGTAGTTGAGTTGTTATATTTTAGAAAAAAAGGGCATACGTTAAAGGTTTTGATCCCATATTTTGCACTTTTTTCCTGAACTTATGTTATGATTTTCTTTCATTTAGTTAAGTTTCATAAATCACATTTTCTTCTATTCTGTAACAATTACCAGTAGATTTTATATTACGTTTATCATTTTGCCATCATGCAAACTCAGTAGTCATTTAAACTTTGCGGTTAATAAAAACCTCATTTAACAGACAAACGAAATTAAAATTCCTGAAACTTAGGAGAAACTATTTTGTTTAAGCTCAAGGTTATTACCAATGAATGGCCTTATTTAGTCATTATGCAAATACAGAACAAGTGAGTGATGTCGCGAAGGCGGGAGAGAATATATAGGCCTAGCTTTTACCGGCGCCGACGAAGGGCAATGTAGGTGACGCTGTGACCTACTAACGTGAGGATAGTTGTTGAGTAACAATGATAATAATAATGATAATAATAATAATAATAATAATAATAATAATAATAATAATAACAATAATAATAATAATAATAACAATAACAATAATAATGATAATAATAATAATAATAATAATAATAATAATAATAATAATAATAATAATAACAATAATAATAATAACAATAATAATAATAATAATAATAATAATAATAATAATAATAATGAGTAATCCTTAAGTAAAAAAAGAGAAAAAAATAATGATCATGATATTAATAACAATAATAATGATAACAATAGTAATAATAATAATAATAATAATAATAGTAATAATAATGATAATAATGATAATGATAATAATAATAATAATAATAATAATAATAATAATAATGATAATGAGTAATGAGGCTGTGACCTACTAACGTGAGGATTATTGTTGAGAAGAAAGGAGTTTTTGAGATGGAATGATGGTGATAGTAGCGTAATGATAGTGATAATGATAATTATAATGGTGATAATAATAATAATAGTAATCGTAATAATGATTATGATAATGATAATGATGATAATAGTAACAGCAACTATTATGATAATAATAGTGATGATAATGAGAATGGTGATAATAACAATAATGATAATAGTTATATTGATAATGAAAAAAAAGATAATGGTAATAGTAATAATGCTATTGATAATAATAATAATGATAATAATGATGATACTGATAGTACTGATAATATTGATTATGATGATGGTAATAATAATAATAATAATAACAATAATGATAGTAATAATAAAAATGATAATGATAATGATATTGATGATAATGATAATAATAATAGTAATACTAATAGTAATGATAATGACAATGACATTAAATGGTAACTTCATTGACAACCATGATGATAGTAATAAATAATAATAACTAAGATTAATAATAAAGTGATGATAATAATGATAATAGTATGACGATAGATAATGACGATGAACAAATCAGAAAAAGAAATCTCACTCTCTTTCTCTTTCTCTTTCTCTCTCTTTCTCTCTCTTTCTCTCTCTTTCTCTCTCTTTCTCTCTCTCTCTTTCTCTCCCTCCCTCCCTCCTTCCCTCCCTCCCTCTCCCTCTCCCCCTCTCTCATTCATTCCATCTCCCTCCATTCCTCCCAAATCCTCCCTCCCTGTCCCTGTCCCTCTCCCTCACCCCCCTCTCTCATTCATTCCATCTCTTCCTCCATTCCTCCCAAACCCTCCCTCCCTCTCCCTCTCCCTCTCCCTCTTCCTCCCTCTCCCCCCTCTCTCATTCATTCCATCTCTCCATCCATTCCTCCCAAATCCCCCCCCCCCCTTCGCGTCATCTGGTCCGGCCATCGCAGGCGTCGAGTCGCGTCGTGCTCCAGATAACATTGTTTTTGTCTTCTTCTCCTTCTTCCTTTCTTTCTTTTTCTTGGGAATTTCGACGAGGGCAGTCTGGTTGGATTTTTGTTTGTTTGTTTGTTTGGCTATTCTTTGTTTGGTTGTGTAATGTTGTTTTTTTCGTGTTTGATTATGTGGTTTGAATATTTTTGTTAGGTCTCTCTGTCGTGTATATTTATGTGTGGGTGTGTGAGTAGTGTGCATATATGTGTGCGTGTGTGTGTCAAGACGTGTATATAAAACTATATATATATAACTATATATATATATATATATATATATATATATATATATATATATATATATATATATATATATATATTACACACACACACACACACACACACACACACACACACACACACACACACACACACACACACACACACACACACACACACACACACACACACACACACACACACATACACACACACACTCACACTCGCACTCACACACTGTGTGTGTGTGCTTGTATTTATGTTTTATACACGCATAAAACAGTTATCAGAATATGGTATTATCATTTTTACTAACTTCCTTGAAGATATAATACAACATCAATCATGAATTGTTGCAAATACTCTGACCTTCAACAGTAAGACCTTAACCTTTCTCGCCTTTTCCTCTCTTTTTTTTTGTTATAGGGAAAAGGCGGAATCTGTTTTGCGTTTTTGTCATTGTTGTTGTTTTGTTAGAGTAGGCGTTGTCAAGACGTGTTTGTTATTTGTCGCGTCATGAAGGGCTATTGTTGTGGTCGGATTGGCACCTGCGTTAGAGTCAGGATTTGCTTTATTACTGATATCATTATTGTTATTATGATTTTTATTGTTATCATTATTATTATTGCTATTGTTGTTGTTGGTGGTGTTGTATATTATAATTTTAGTTGTTTTTATTATTATTATTATTATTATTATTATTGTAATTATTATTGCTGTTATCATTATTATTATTATTATTATTATTATTATTATTATTATTACTATTATTATCGTTGTTGTTGTTGTTTTTTTTGTTATCATTATTATTATTATTATCATTATTATTATTATATTTGTTATTATTATAATTATTATTACTGTTATCATTCTTGTTATTTCAATTGTTATTATTGTTATCATTATCGTGATCATCGTCATCATCATTATCATTTTTATTATTATTTTTATTATTACTATTATTATTATTATTATTATTAGTAGTAGTAGTAGTAGTAGTAGTATTGTGATTATTATTATGATAATGATTATTATTACAATTGTCGTTACTAGTGCTATTATTATTACCATTATTATTTTTATAATTTTTTTTATTACTAGAATACCATTGTTGTTATTGTTGATGCTAGTTTATTTTTTTTTACTAGTTAGTATGCCTGGCGTTTTTGCTATAATAACATTTTGTTATTTTTTATTATACGTGTGTGTGTGTGTGTGTGTGTGTGTGTGTGTGTGTGTGTGTGTGTGTGTGTGTGAGTTTGTGTGTATGTGTGTGTGTGTGTGTGTGTATGTGTGTGTGTGTGTGTGTGTGCGTGTGCGCGCGCATGTGTTTGTGTGCGTACGTACACGCGTGCGTGTGCATGACTGTATATGTCTAAACTTGGACGCGCGTATTTATATCTTCTTACGATGTATGTAAAGTAAACAAGTACACCTATTTCTCCGTCTTGACCCCAGGGGCATAATTCAACCTCACCCGTCTACCGCCCCCCAAAAAGAGAAGAAAAATAAAAATAATAAAATAAGTAAAAAATACAGACAGTGGTTTTACACACCGCTTTTTCGAACCTGACCTGGAAAAGCGAAGCGCCTCCTGTCGGTGCGCACAATTACAAGTGTCATTACAGCGATTATAAGTATGATGATAAGCGCGATGGTGAAAGCATGGTGGCCGAGATGGTGATGGTGAGCGGAGGTAATGATGGTGGTTGTTATGTGGTGTAACGACCCCCCTCCCCCCACCCCCACCCTCTACTGTGTTCTTCGTGTGTGTTCTGTTCTTTGGTCACGTGGCATATGGTCGATGTTACTGCATTTATGTTCTCTCTTTAAACCGTTTTTATTGATTTATTTTCTGTTCCCTGTCGACTCTTCTGTTTTTCTTCGCACGTTGAGTATATGTTAATTATCTGACCAGTTTTTTTTTTCTTTCTTTTTCTTTTTTTTTCTTTTTTTTTGCGTGTGTGTGGGTGTGGGTGGGTGGGTGTGTGTTTGCACGTTTAACCATTCATAAAACTATTTTTTGCCATTTGCTTTTAATCCATCCTTCATACCAATATTTACCATTTAGATTCTACTCATTCAGACATTTATTGTTTACATTTTATGCATTCATGTAACCAAGGTTTATTGTTTACAATCTCACTCATTCATAAATCTAATATTTACATGTCTTTGTCCGCAGATCTTGAACATGGGATGTCATGTGGACGACCGTGACGCCTTGACAGATATGACACTGTTGCACTACGCTGTCAAGTCTGGCAGTGTTGGCGTTGGCGATCCTGCCACAGCTTTGCAGGTAATGTTCTTGTCTGTTTGTTTGCTGTTTTTATTTGTATTTGTTCGCATGGCGTTAGGAAGGCAATGTTGTAATTAAGGGTAATGCGAAGGAAAATGGAAAAGGGAGAAGAACAAAGGAGATCGAGAACAATATAAAAGAATAGGGAAAATGACCGATATAACTAGGAAAAGAAAGGAAAGGGGAAATTTGAAAAAAATAAAATAGTCATGATAATGGCAGCAACAGTAATATGGTAATTTGGAATAGGGGAGAGAGCACGCACAAGCACGCACCTACAGTGTGTGTGTGTGTGTGTGTGTGTGTGTGTGTGTGTGTGTGTGTGTGTGTGTGTGTGTGTGTGTGTGACTGCGTGCGTATCTGCGTTAGCACGTGTAAAGACAAACTGACAGACACGGTCAAAGTAAATATTCTTTTCCACCAAAACAAACAGGTTTTAAAACGACCATAAAATGCATAAAAACACGAGAGTATAACAAGGAGCATAAAGCCCTTCACCTCAGCAATTATCATTTTTTTAACGATGTAATATTCCTTCTACCTCCCTCTCCCTTCGTCTCCCCCCCCCCTCTCCTTTCTTTCCTCCTCCTCCTTCTTTAGGCTATTACTCTGTCTCCCTCTCTCTCCTCCTTTCTATTCTTACCGCTCTCCCTCCCACTCATTCCTTCGCTCGCTTCCTCCTTCCCTCCCTCCTTCATTTCCTCCCTCCGCCCCCATCCCTCCCTCCGCCCCCATCCCTCCCTTGCTCCCTTCCTCCCTCCATCCCTCCTTCCTTCCCCCTTTGAATCTATCGTCCTCTCCCCTCTTCCTCTGTTTTTCTCTTCTTTTCCTTTGGCGCTTCATTCCTTTCTCTGTCTTGTCTCGACCCCCCGCAAGGCTGAGGGAGTGTGCGTGTAAGGTCTTGTCTAATAACGGGACCTCGGCTTTTGTTTACTCTCTCTCTTTCTTTCTTTCTCTCTCTCTCTCTCTCTCTCTCTCTCTCTCTCTCTCTCTCTCTCTCTCTCTCTCTCTCTCTCTCTCTCTCTCTCTCTCTCTCTCTCTCTCTCTCTCTCTTTCTTTCTCTCTTTCTCTCTCTTTCTCTCTTTCTCTCTCTCTCTCTCTTCTCTCTCTCTCTCTCTCTCTCTCTCTCTCTCTCTCTCTCTCTCTCTCTCTCTTTACCTTTCTTTCTTTCTTTCTCTCTCTCTCTCTCTCTCTCTCTCTCTCTCTCTCTCTCTCTCTCTCTCTCTCTCTCTCTCTCTCTCTCTCTCTCTCTCTCTCTCTCTCTCTCTTTCCCTCTGGTTATTATTATTTTCCTCTCTCAAGTTCTTTGTTTAATTGATTCTTTTTTAAGAATCGTTTCTCTATTTTTTTGTCCTGTATGCTTGTTTTTATATTCTTCTTCTCTTCGTTTTCTTCTTCTTTTTGTTTACTCTCTTATCTTCTATGTTTTTTCCTGTCTTGTCTCACATGGTCTGTCTGTCTGTTTGTTTATTTGCTAATTTATCTACCTGTCCGTCTATCTACTAACCTTCATTTCAGTGTCATACATAGAAAAGTGGTTTTCATTGAAAAACGAATTCAACCACTTGTTCATTATAATAGTTATTATTGTTATTTTATTATTGTAACGATAAATACATAAATATTAGAGTAAGTGGTAATAACGAAAATAAATAATTCTTTTTTTACAATATTTCTGTTCTTACTCTGCCAAATTTAAGCGAATGGGATACTTTGGAGAAAATTGCGGAAAATTAACAAATACAACGGCCGTGAAAGGTGAAAAGCTCAGGAGAAAATGGCGGATGTTCTCTACTGGTAAATGCTCTGCCGTTACGCAACTGGGCTTATGCGTGTTCGTGTTTGCCTTGGGTTTATGTGTATTAATCTACAGTGTGTGTGTTTGTCTCTCCCTTCACCCCCCCCCCCCCCCAAGAGGTAAACTTTCACACCTGCGCACGAGACCGTTGCAGAGCGAAGTTGCAGTTGACGTAACTCGGTGTCGCTATCGCCGTTGCCTTGTCGTTGTTGCAATGGATCCTCCCCCCCCCCCCAACTTCTTCCCCATTCTCCTTCCTCCTCTTCATTTACCCTTCCTCGTCTCTCCTTCTCTCCTTCTCCACCCCCCACCTTTCCCTCTCTCCTTTCTCCCTCTTCTTCATTACCCTGTCCAAATCTCTCCCTCTCTTCTCTTTCTTCCTTTCCCACTGTCCTTCCCCCCCTTTTTTTCTTCTTTTTTATCCTTCCCCTCTCCTATCTCTCTTCCTTCCTCTCACACCATCGCTTCTTCACCCCCCCCCCCCACCTTTCCCCCTCCTCCTTTCATTTCTCTCTTCCTCACTCTCCCCTTCTTACTCATTGTCCCTTCTCCTTACTCATCATTCATCCTCTCTCCTTCATTCTC